TAAAGTCCAACACTCAAGTCTGCTCTCTGATTTCCAGGTATGAACGATGCAACGTTTCCCCCGCTGGGCAGGTGACCCGGATGATAGCAGACAGCCGCTGAATGAAGGTGGTGGAAAAGTACGGCTGGAGTCGAGATAGTGGAGCAGTACGAGCCGGAACTACAGCTGCTGACCTCACAGGATAAAAATAACAAGGAAATCGTCAGAGGACATGTCGTCTGCCTCATGCTGAGCAGCAGAAGAAACTCTGATTACAAGTTCAGGCTTTCATCTGATACTCAATTAGAGAGCCTGTTTACTCGTTTACATCTTGTTTATTTACAGTGTTTGAGCAGAAATGTTTTTGTTTTTCTGTAGGAACAGAAATCGGTCCAAAAAAGTGAAAAAAGCTTTAAAAAAAAAATACAATTTCAAAAATATTTTAATGGGAACCATTGGACATTTGGAAAAAAATGTAAATATTTTTCCTCTTCTTTGCCTTTCCTTTTTACCTTGAACATTTCTTTTTTTTTTACCTGAATGTCTCTTTATAAAGAGTATTTTTTACCTTACTTACTTTGAAAGTCATTCTCCGATCTCTTTAGGGGTTTTATTCCACGTTATGCTGGTAAGGCTCCTGTCACACCTTTAGGATTTATCCAGCGTCTGCCCGACGTCCCAGAATCTCCTAAAACGCTGGCATACCTGAACTTTCTATGGATTTTTTCTATGTTGGGTGTATGCATAGAGGATTCATAACGAGTCCAGAACTTCTGTCCAACGACAGCCTAACTTCTGCATAACGCACGGCAGCATAATGCCCATGAAGCATTACGAAGCATCAGTTGAAGCTGCTCCCCTCAGGAGCAGCGATGCAACTTCTGCATAACGCACAGCAGCGTAATACCCAGGAAATGATGCACAAGCATCATTTGAAGCATCATCTTCATATTAACCTAACGGCTGTTAACCGCCTGCCAAAAACAAATAAATAAAAGAGAAAAAGAAGGTTTGCAGTGGCAGCAGATTCAGCGTCATGTCTGCTAGGAAGTTTGTTGGTCGTTGGTGTTACGACCCGATCCGTCCTGCGCAAACAGATATTCATCCAGGTGTCCAGAAATAATGTAATTATGACACTAAAATGACTTAT